CACGCATATCCCGCATCTGTTATGTCCATGCCTTCACTGCCCAGGGCCCTTTGGAGACCGTGGGCCCCTGGGCAACTGCCCAATTGCCCATATGGTTAATCCGGCCTTGGTCAGAAGATAAAAAGTTTGGGAACCACTGGTTTATGGTCAACGCTGGCTTTAAAGCAGATTATTCTGAGACATTAATACAGAATTATTAGTTTAAAATACTCAGGGGGCCACAGTAACTCAAAGCATACAGCTCAGGGGCCGGACAAGAAATAAAACAAAAAAGACAAGTTTATTTTGAGCTCAACGTTTTGTTTTAAATGGGAAATTGCAGAATTACAGAAACAGTTTCCGTGTTTCTTTGCGCTCTGACCTTTAACGTATGAAGGCAGCTCTCTCAGTAAGGGGGACCGTCCCCCGTGTTGTTCCTGCGGACCCTCAGCCAGTTTCAATTATCAGAGGATTAAATCCAGCTGTTCTCACCCCATCTTCACAGCCGTTAAGACAGAATCAAATCAATTAGCAACAAACGGAGAACCAGCAGATCTAAGATGTTTTTAAAGGAGCTGTGGTTGTTTTCCGGCTCGGTGGGTTCTAACGAAGGCGGGACGTTGTGGTGATTTCAGTCTGTGCTTCTCGACAGGGCCGAGCCCGTCCTGGCCAGGATAAAGGACAACCACCGGAGGATCATCCTGCCCTCCATCGACAACATCAAACACGACACCTTCGAGGTGGAGCGCTACGAGAACTCGGGCCACGGCTACAACTGGGAGCTGTGGTGCATGTACATCAACCCGCCCAAGCAGTGGTGGGACGAGGGCGACGTGTCGGCCCCCATCAGGCGAGTCCGGCGTCCGCTCGGGGCGTGCGGCGGTGTGTTTGTGTGACATTAACGGGCGGTTTGTCACACGCAGGACCCCCGCCATGATCGGCTGCTCCTTCGTGGCCGATCGGGACTACTTCGGAGAGCTGGGCCTGCTGGACCCGGGCATGGACGTGTACGGAGGCGAGAACATCGAGCTGGGCATCAGGGTCAGTGTGTCACCCAGTCCCCTCCTCCATCACTCTTCACCCCTGCAGCTTTAAACGGAGCCGTGGCCTCCGTCGCGCGGCGCCGCTGATGGATGAGGGCCCATTAAAGGTCCTGGAGGAACCGGTCCTGGGTGTGCAGCTGGCCGCGGGCCGGCTCAGATAAATAGGTCACATGAAGCAGAACGGTTCTGGAGGTTGTGTTTCTGTAAAATCTGCTCATGTTGGATTATTTAACCTTCAGTCAAACACATGTTTTGTTATTACGGAGTGACAAAACCCAAACTAGAACATCAGTTCTACCAGAACCATAAAGAAACCTCATGATCTGACATGGATGTCCTTCAAATGCAAAAACATCAAAGAAAACATCTTTATATTTAGGAAACATGGCATAAAACACATGATTTGACCCATTAATTGTGCTTTCTTTTGAACTTGGTGCAGCCAAACTGAAACAGGAAGTGACATCATAGGGGAACCCTTTAAGAAATGTTTTTTTAATTGAAACAATATTATTTGACTCTTCTACATGTCTCTGATAAGAGACTGAAAATAATCTAAAGAAACATCAGATTTTTTGTCATAAAAATGCTCTGTTCACATTCAGACAGTCCCCTCTGACATCACTTCCTGTTACTTCACACACAAATACCTCAACAACCGTTCACCTCAGCGGTGTGATTTTTTTTCCCGTGAACATGTTATCAATGTTATCTTTCCAAAAATAAATTCAAATTTATTACAAAAATTTGTTATCATGGGCACTTTAAAAGGATCCATAATTATTTGTAACATTAAACTTTATTTGATAAACATTTATTTTAACTGTAAAATAAAGACTGTAAAAATACTGTAGGCTGTTTAGTTTTTATCATTTTAAAAAATATTTTTTTAACATGGACAGGGCCATTTTATTTACACGCAAAGCATTCTGGGTAAATGGATGGAGGGCAACAGAGCTGCTTCATGGAAGAAGAACCTCAGCTTAGCCTGTTAGCTTTAGCGTTAGCACCGACGCTATATTGCTTTATATGTGTTAGCTCAGTGCTAGCGCAACAAACTAACAAGCTAAACTGAGGTCGAGATGAGAGGAGAATATATATGGTGATAGCATCGGGGCTAATGCTAAAGCTAACAGGCTAAGCTGAGGTTGTTCTTCCATGAAGCAGCTCTGTTGTCCTCCATCCATATTTTCAGTTCCAGGCTGAGTCATTTCTACCTTCTCCTCTCTGTCAACGCTCTCTGGTTTCATTTAAAAGAGACCAATTATGGGTCCTAGAAATGTTTATGGTATGTCTGTGGG